TGATCCATTTTCTAAAGTATAATCTTTACTGATAGTTGAAATTTATTAAAAATTATAAAAATATAAAAAAATGTTAATTTAAAGTGAAAAAATAAGACTACATAATATTTATAATTTTCAATAAATAGTAGTTTATAATGAAGAGTGTGACTGAAAGAGAGTATTGTTAGCATTTCTATTTTTTTAATAACTGTGTGTAGTATTTACTATGAATATGCATGCGCACCTTCATCCAACAGTAAGACTAAGGAAGTGGAACTTGTCCAAATTTTGTTTTTATGGTATAATGAATATGAAGGTTGAACATAGTGAATAAATAATTCCATATAATCTAAATTCATCACCGTTGGTTCTCTCCAAATAAAATTTGATTCCTGTGAAGCATTACTACTTGTTGAAAGGACTCCCTTGATCAGCCACAAAGCTGTATGCACTTGCCTTTTGTTACAGAGAGAATAGGACATGCATTTTATTTTTGGCCACAAATAAAATTATGCGTTGTGTTTTGGCTAAAATTATAGTGCTTTGCACTGAGCTTGCATTTGCTATTTGAACAGCCATTCACAACTCACCTGATTTTGCTGTTGTGAATGCTTGGTCATACTGATTTTTATTTTTTATTTTTTAATAGAAGAGAGAGAAGAATATATGTTATCATTCAGGATTTAGATTTATCCCGTCTCGTTAGTTAACTCTAGTTGGATAAAAATTTCAAAAGCATTTGATTAACGGCATAAATTATATTAATTTTATACAATTTAATATTTTTTATTAACTAAATTTATTCTTAAGTTAATTGTCAAAGTCAAAGTACATAGGATATATACATTATGTTTTAAAATGATTATATTAATAAAAAATTATTTAATACCCATTTAATATATTAAATCTAACCTAGATATACTTTTAAACCATATAAAAAATAAAAATATCCTACAAATTTTTTTTAAAAATTAAATATAATATATAATTATAATTTAACGATTAAATTGATAATTTTTATGAAATTTTTAATATTATATATATATATATATATATATCTCACATTGAGATTATAAATATATATATTAGGAGAAGGATCTTCTTGCACTACTGTAAATCTAAAAACTCTTACAGTCAATCTGAATCTTTTATTTAACTTAAATCTAATGGTCAGTGAAGTAATAAATTATAACTCGTTAAATTTAAGTTAAATAAAAGGTTCAAATTGAGTGTAAGAGTTTTTAAACTTATACCAGTATAGGAAGATCTTGCTCCTACATATTAAAGCTAACAAAATATATATCTTAAAAATTTATAAAAAATTAAGAATCAATTAATTATAACTTTATATTATTTAATTTTAAAAAATATTTAATAAAATAATGATTGAATTGCTAAAAAAACACATTTTATATATAAAATTATTGACAACATAAAAATTTATATAACTTATATAATTTATTTGTTAGTTATTAAATATTTTTAATTTAAAATAAATTATTAAATTAAAATTTCATATCACATAAATTATATTTGTAAAATTTTAAATTAATATAAAATTATTTATTATTTTATTTTTGTATATTAAAAGTTATATATATATATGTGTATTATAAAAATAAATTATCTTTAATTCCTTATCAGAAAGAAAATTATCATTATAATTATACTTTTAATGAAATCATATTATAGTTCTTTGAATATACTTATTATCAATTTACTAGTTTGGATTTCAAAACTAGAACAATTTAATCATTTTCAATAACCTTGAATAAAAATCTTATATAGTATCATAATATTCAAATATTAAAGGTTGATTACCATGTCTTTTTTCATATAGGAGTATTAACATATTTTAACAAAAAAAATTTAAATATTCTGACTCGACTCATAAAGAAAAATTTGTATATTAACATGATTTGTGCTAGAAAATTTAAATTAAATAACTACTTCCTTAATCATCCATCATAAAGAAAAATTTGCAAAATTTATCGGGATGATACCAAGATATTTGGAATCTAATTATCCAATCTTTTATAATTTTTTCTTAGGCATTTGGTAATTTATTTTCTATATTTTTATTATCATTTTATAAAATTTAAAATACATAATTTTTTATAAAATTTACAAATACCAATATTTTTTAGTTAGATGCAAAAGTTTAAATAAAAGAAAAACAAAAGTAATAGTACGTTTTGACTTGGGCAAAGGAGCTGGTGATACGTTGGAGGTAGCTGCCAATTGGACCCGATCATGATCAATCAACTTCTCTCAGCTGTTCCATACATAGCTCAAATAATTGTTAATTAATGACTGGCCTCGCCTCAACTACAGGACACTCAAATTTCACAAAGAAAATTTAAGGGTGCCAGTGGAGCTCATAAGTAACCTTGTTAGGCCTGTCACCAGTAATGAACAATTAAATTCCTACCAAATCTAACACTAGTCATAACCCACAAAATCAATAATCAAATGTTAATCTCCTTTTCCCAGTATTTGTAAAAAATATTGTACATAATAATCATTTTTGTTAAAAATATAGAATTTAATATATTAATATTATCAAATGTTATTTTTTTTAATAAAAAATACCATTATTAATTTTCTATTATGTATAATCTTACAAAAACTAAAAAATCGTTAAAAATAAAACTAACTAGAATCAGTCATTTAGTTTTGGGAGCATTACGCAAAAATTCTGAGCGAGTGCTTCCTTTCCGTGACTCATAAAGCATCAAGTGGAAGTACGAGATGTACTGTGAATGTATCTGTTGTACCGTTGGATCTTGTGAACAGATATGGGAAAATGGCTGAAGGCTGGTCCAATTAGACAGTTAAATTATAGAATTTGAGTGTTAAATTTTAGATTATACAATTTTAAAATTTTAAATCAATTTATTCGAGGTTTTTTTCTTACTGAATTTGATTTTATTTTTGTTATATTTAAGTGATAAAATTTTATTTTATTGCTTAATTGAAAAGCGAGACCTTTTATCCGATTTTAACAGAGCACTAAGTTTAAACACGACTAATTTAAAATAGGTCAAAAGTTATACTTATGTAAAAAATTAATTGAATTTTCTAATAAAATTTATATTTACACAATAAACTCATATATATATATATATATATATATATATATTATAACAAAGACAGAAATAAAATAATTAATTGAATAAAAAGAGAATAATTTATATCTGTTTCTCATATTATAGACCATTTTCTTAATTTGTAGAAGAAAAAGTTATAATTAATCTTTATATTATAAATAAAAGTATTTTACTTAGGAAGTGAAATATTTAATTGATTTATTCTTTTTTATAATTTATTACGTGTATTTTTTAAAATTAAAATTATCTAATAATAATGATATGTAAATTGTATTTTCCTTTATTACAATAATTTTACTTTTTATTTTTTTTTACTAAACTTTGAAAATAAAAATTATTAATTAAATTTTGTTATTATTTTATATAAAATTTAAAATTATTCATGAATTTCTATATTTATATTTATAAAAATTTTCATACTACATTATATAAAATTTTAAATTTTCTACAAATATCTTTATTTATATAAAATTTATAACACTTAATATATTATTTCCATTATTTTTAAATTAAATTATATTTTAAAATTATTTTAATATTTTAATGCATACTATTTGCAATTACAGTATTAAATTAATATAACTTTTAGATAAAATTAATATTTTAAATAATCATATCATATCATATATATAATGGTACTACCTACTACTGACCTTTCATAGTTAAAGGGATTGATTACAAAGCAGATATATAATTGATATATTTTTAAAAGTTCAAAGTTGTAAGGCTTTACTCTTCTGTAAAATATAAAGGAAAACTAATATATGCTATCAACAGTTCACACCCAAACGGCCATACTTAAAGCTATTAATATTTATTATTTTTGCTTCCTTAAACTATATCCTTTCGTGTTTTAAGGTTATCCGTCTTATACTATGAAAATACGACAGCTATTAATTAAATATGTAAAAAAAATGATTTAATAAACTTAGAAAAAAGATTATAAAAAACTGTATGCAGCATTAATTTAGGAAAAGTCTGAAATGTATAAACTAAAATATCTCTTGAGACTATAAATAAAATATACATAAACAGTTTAAACAAATAATAAATAAAACGAAAAAAATTGACATATATGATCTCTTAAGAGAAAGTAAATATTAAAGTACTTTGAAGTGGTGTGCATACTCTAATTTATTACGTAGTTTGCAGTAAATACTTATGTTTAGACCTGAGAAATAAGATGGAAAGAAACAATATGAAAAAATAATTAGTATAAAATTGATAAATTTTTAAGTTATTTAGATTAAGAAAAATAAGAAAGAAAATTAAGAGAAGAAAAACATGAGTTCGTTTCTACTTATTTAATTGAATAAAAAATATGAAATTTAAATATATTAGATAACATTAAAATTCGTATAACAAAATAAAACGAAATTTAAATTACGACATTTTATAATTTTGATAAAGCTCCGTACTTTTCTCTATTTGGAGAGAAGCATTTAGAGGTGGGCTCCACGTGTTTTTTATTCTTTCGAAAAGCAAGGCTAAATCTAAACCAAGATAACTTGAAGCTCGAGTAAGGTCCGTTTGGCTAATTTTTAGAATAATTAATTTTCTCTTATTATGTATCACGTTTTAATATAAACTATTGCTGAAATTAATTTAAAAGAAGTGTGGCAATTATAGTACGAAAGTAAAATAATTGAATGTGTTTAGCGATTTGTGCCATGGACTCATTAAGGCTGTTCATTTTTATTCAATTTATTATGTACAAGTATATTAGGACGCACACGGTGAGAAAGAGATTTAGGCAGCAAAGGATTAAAGGGCCAGACAAGAATACAAACTGTTGGGTAGGCCCTAATGACGGCAAGCCATTAGCTGTATGGAAAGCTAAGGTGTGTTTTGATTTTGACACATCCCATTTCAATGCTACTCTCAAAAACTCTCTGTTAATTCCTTTCCTTTCCCAAACTTGCTATATAAATAACACTCTCCCCTCACTCCCATTCCACCACAAAAATTTTCTTCACTGCACACATATCCATACATACACACCATGGCCATCTTTTACCATTTTGGAAATGCTAGTGTTCTTTTTGTGTTGTTATTATCTGCTGTGTGTGTTTGTGGACGACCAGCCACTTTTCATCAAGACTTTCAAGTCACGTGGGCTGAGTCCCATATCAGGCAAATTGATCAAGGCAGAGGAATCCAACTCAGACTTGACCAAAACTCTGGTAATCAAATTAGAATCTCCAATACAATCAATCTCTTTTTCTGTTTTACATTCCTCAACATATTTAAATGATCACATGGTCCAAAAGAAACAATCTTTTGGATAAAATAACACACGTTACCATATATATTATATATATAATCTAATAATATTAATATACTTGTTTTACAGGATGTGGGTTTGCTTCCAAGGCCAAGTACATGTTTGGGCGTGTTAGCATGAAGATTAAACTTGTCCCCGGAGACTCTGCCGGTACCGTCACTGCATTTTATGTAAGTTCAAATTTTCCTATTATTTGTTTGAAAATTTCTCGTCTGCCACACCACAATACAGATGATATAAATTTTACATGCTGTTAATTTTGTTTTGTGGTAGATGAACTCTGACACGAACAATGTTCGTGACGAGCTGGATTTCGAGTTCTTGGGGAACCGTACTGGCCAACCTTACACAGTTCAAACAAACATCTATGCTCACGGAAAGGGTGATAGAGAACAGAGGGTCAACCTGTGGTTTGACCCTGCTGAGGACTTCCACACTTACACAATTATGTGGAATCATCACCATATTGTGTAAGTAAACATACATATATGCATACACATCTAGGTAAAGTAAACGGTTTTATTAAATATTTACTCAACGCAAATAAAATCGTATTTATAGGTTCGGATATGAAATCTATTGATAGAAAATACAAATAGTTTATGTAATAAATCTTTACAAAGCTCATTAAAAAAAATTATTTTATTAATGTTGTAAAATATATTATTATACACATGCAGCTTCTACGTTGATGCGATTCCAATCAGAGTGTACAAGAACAACGAGGCTAAGGGAATTCCATACCCAAGGATGCAAGCGATGGGGGTGTATTCAACGTTGTGGGAAGCAGATGACTGGGCAACAAGGGGTGGTTTGGAGAAAATAGATTGGAGCAAAGCACCTTTTTTTGCTTATTACAAGGATTTTGACATAGAAGGTTGTGCTGTGCCAGGGCCTGCAAACTGTGCCTCGAACCCACAAAACTGGTGGGAAGGGGCTGCATATCAAGCTCTTAATGCCATTGAAGCGAGAAGGTATAGGTGGGTTCGCGTGAACCATGTGATCTATGACTATTGTCAAGATAAGTCAAGGTACCCAGTGACCCCACCAGAGTGTCGTGCCGGTATATAGTCCCAAGATTATATCAAGCTCGTCGGCAATTTCAGTGGTTCATAACATTCATGCCTCACTTCTTCTACGTACATGTGATGTCACTTTACTTTACACTGTTGTTCTTGTTGTGTTATATACAAATTGTCCATATATATATATAAACTATTCTTGTGTCCCAACTCGTACGTTGGACGAAGCCTGTGTTCGAATCAGAAGGGGCATGGGTTGAGTCAAAACCTTTCCTGGCCCTCTTTCTTTGTATTTTAGTGCGGATATATTGTTTGTGGTATAAGGAAGCATCGTGCCCATTATTGTGATTTATGGAATAAACTTTATTTTATTTTTTTATTTTTGCTGTAATGTGTAGCACGTCTCAATTTATGTGGGATAAAGTCTTCCTCTGTTTCGGGCCAAGCAAAAGGACAAGAAAAATGCATGGTTGGTCTTAATTGTAAGATTTCATTAAATGATTAAAATGCCCAAAGCGGGTCTTGCCTCTTTGACTTATCGCCAGCTTCGTGCTTTACATAATTTGTTAACGTCATATCAAATCTCTCGCTGTGCCTGGATAGAAAGTATTTTACAATTTAAAATTTTAAAAATTTCGCAGTTCAATTATCTACAAGGCTAAAAAATATAGTTTTGTTATTTAAAACATTAAAAGTTGACATGATTTATCTTGTAGTTACTTTTATCTTACTTTTTTATACACCCTTCTAACAAAATACTTCAAACATAACTAAAACACTTAAAAGTACATCAAATATTTAAAAAAAAAAAAACATTTCTGAAGAAATGAGCTTAATGTAAGCTTTAAAACTATCAATCGAGGTGTAATTAAGCTTCAACAACCTGGTCCCCGGATAATAAAGGTCTCATTCACCTTATGCTCAACACGCACGTGCAAGAGTACTCCAAAACTCGTGAGTTGTGACATCTGACAAGATGAAAAGCAAGGATTACTGGATAAGGAGTAAAATCATAGAAAACCACGTAAAATGTAGAAATTAAACTTAAAAATTATATGTGCACATGCTGCAATTGGGAAAATATGTCGTGAATGGGTTCGGGAGAACAGAGCCCACAAAGAGAAGAAGAGTAAGAAACTTGGAATTAGGGGTCCAAAACTAAAATACATTCATGGCTTTTTTGCCTGACATGCATCAACATCATGTGAAGACAACAGCGGTGAGTGATGGTGTTCTTTCTTATCCAGTTTCTGTTCAGAAGTGGAGGTTGGTGTATATCTTTCGGTCCCCCATTTCTTCGTGTCATCACTCTCTATCTTCTCTTTCCGTTGCCGTTTTTTGTGGAAAGGAGAAAGAAACTAAATAAACTAAAGCCAAAGTCTTCTATCGTGATTTTTAGTTTGAATTTTTTTTCATATTGTATAGATATTATTAAAATAAAATATTAAAAAATTTAAAGATAAATTATGAATAAAATGTCTTGAGTTTTTTCGTCCAAACTATCAAATCTAAACCTCGTACTTGAAAGTTTTAGCAAAAGTTAGAAACAGATTAGATGAGTGAGGCATAGAGAGGGATTAAATATTAATGGGCGTTGAGACACTTAGTCGTGGAAAGAGAGGTCATTGCAGAACCATATGATGGCGATGCAGTAGCGTTGGAAGCGTCGAGGGAACAGCGGGGTCCGAGGGAGTGTAGGATATGAATAGGTTAGTAAAAACGTTGAATTTGACTGTAGTTTTGTGGGTGTGACAGTGGTGGGAGGAGAGAGAGGAGGTTATTTTATTTTCTTGTTCTTCTTTCTTCCTGTCCTCATCGGCATACAGGAGCTTTACAAGGTCTCAACTAATATCCATTGTTTGGCCAACATAACCACAGACCTACACACAGTACAACAAAAGAAAAGAAAAACCATAAACGGGACAAAATATTTTGTTTGACTAATAACTTAAAATATTTTGCTTGGATTACCGTCAATAAAAGACTTTTGTTTGACATACAATTGATGTAAGAAATTAATTTTTTTTTATACAAACACTAAATTAAAATTAAATGACACATATGAAAACTAACATTTATTTATTTTTTTGGTCAAGTAATATTCATTTTAACTTAGAATGTTTGATTGTCACTTCAGCATTTGTTGTTGGCCACATTAGCAAAAGGAGCACAACGTTAAAATAGACAAAAACTTCTTCAACTATTTTGTGAAGTTTTGTATGTGCATAACTAAATTAAAGAAAAATTACTCACAAGAACTAAATTAAAATTGGGTTACGCATATGAGATCAAATACACATTTTGACTTAAATAATAAATAGTTTGACGTACTGATAGTATAAAATATTTACACAATTTAATTAGTATATTATCCCATATGTTTAAAAACACTAAAAACTTAAATACTGATAGTAAAAAAAAAAAAAACCTTTAATGGAACAAACAATTATTTTTTTTCTTTACTAGATTTTTGTTTAATATTTGTTAACTTTACTTCTTGCTTACAAGACCAAGACCAAGCAACAATTCGTGCTTGTTAGGAGATTTTCTTTCTACAAAAAGTATATTGACATTATTGACGAGACCTGATAGTTTAATTATTTACTTTTTGGTCAAAGGACCCGATGGTTTATGAAATCTGTTTTAATTTTTTTACCCCTCTAACAACCAGAGTGGGCTTGACAAAATTACAATGATAAGGCCCAAATATTGGGCCCGGCAGTCATGAGCCGAACCAATATCATGGACAACTAGAAAAAGGCCCCTTGACGACAAGGTCTTAAATATAGGCCAGTTTATTTAAAAACTGAAACAGAATTTACATGAATTTTATATAAAATTTTATTAAGATCAAAGTCCATACATTTTAACACTGTGACAGTGTGATTCAATCTCTTAAGCCTATTTGATGAATTTCTGGTTTTGGAACTGTAGAGGAGTAGGTGCTGCAACTTATCCTAAATTAGTAAATGATCTAATTAGAATTTGTAGATTGAACTTTATAGCTTTCCTGGAACTTAGAATTAGTAAACAAAGAATCGATAAGGTTATTAAGAAGATTAATTTGATCGGCAGTATTAAAGTTCATGCTATAAGTTTTTCTGAAGATATTTAATGCCTTTAGTACAACTCTAAGTTAGATATTTTTTTAATTTTTAAATCCAAACATTTTTGTCTACCTAAAAATAACTTTAGTAAAATTTAATTCTTAAATTTTAATAGTTATTTATGTCAATCATCAAGAACATTATAGAAACCAGGATTGAAAAGATCTTACTGATTTTAGTCTTAATGTTAAAAGTCTATGGTACGTGGTAGAGGATTTTAGTTTAGATTTGCATTACTATGAGAAGGAAGGGAGTAATGTAGCAAACTACAAAGCAATAAATAATTTTACTACTTATCTTAACTTTTGCAGACTTTTGGATCTTACCTATAATGATGTCCCATTTATTTGGAAAAAAATGTGATTTGAAAGAAAAGATTGATAGATTGGTAGCTAATAATGAGTTCTATAAATTTCTCTAATTTATGTGCTAATTCTAAAATTTAACTATGTTATTCTATGGTTAAAAATCAACTTGTTTCATATTACTTAAAAAAAAAAAAGAGTAATTATTTCAAATTCTTAACTCTTTGATTAGCTTACCTTGAATCTTTTGATCATGTCAAAGAAAGTTGACTTGTCAGTGAAAACTAATTATATAATATAATGAAGTTTAAAGAAATTTAGAATATTAATAATTTTAGCAATATATTTTTTTTAAGAGAAGAATATTTAATAGAATAAATGAAATTTATATATATAAAAAATAAATATTAGTAAAAATCTTTTCCTAAAATAATTAATTTTTAATTTATGAACAAAATATGAAGATATTTCAGATCATGGAAAAATTTATTGGTTTCATCAAGTTAGGTCTAACTAGATCAAACTAGGAAATAGAAATAACATATTTTTTTTACCTCATTTATTTTTTTGAGGAGGCTGAAAAATAAGATAAAGACCTTGAAAAATCAGTTTAATCAATGATGTTATAACCCTGTTGAATTCTCTATTTGAAGTTGTTTAAATAACAGATCTTTGACTATATTAGTTTTGAATTCTTTATTTCTTTTTCTATGTTAAAAAAAAGATTGAAAAATATTAATAAAACTATCTCAAAAGATGAAATTAAAAGTGTTTTATTTAGTATGAGAAATTATAAATTTTGATATCATAATAGTTTATTTGTCATCTTTTTTAAATCTTAATAGGATATTTTGAGGCCTTATATTAAGCAGTTCAAGAAACTGATGGAGAAAGATGACAACATGCGATGTTCGCTTGATGCTTTTAGGCTCAACTTTCAGTTTGAGTCTCGTCATTTTCTTATGTATTCTTTTTCCTTATTCTTGGAAGACAATGATAGATAATATGATTATTTTACAATAGTTAATTCATTCTTTAAAATTTTTCAAAGGAGGAAAATAGTATATGATTTTAAAATTTGATCTTCATAAAGCTTACGATAAAAAGAAATGGAGTTTTATTAAAAAAAATCTTTATATAAAATTGATTTTGATAAGGTTGGTCTCAAATTGCTTGTCATTTTGTGATATCTTTATGCTTTCAAATAAACTAGAATGTGGACCTTTAGGGAAAAAATATTCACTAAAAGAATTCACCTAGGATATCATCTTTCTTCATATATTTATGTGCTTTATTTAAAGAGCTTGACTCATTTGATCCAACATAAAGTCAATATAGAAGAATGAAATTCATTTGTTTTGGTAGGATAGGTCCTTGTATTTTTTATTTATTCAATGCAGGTGATTTAAATATACTTGTTAAGGCTTTTAAAAATCAAACTAAAGTAATTAATTATGTAATAGAATTGTTCGGTTCTACTTCTGATCAACATATCAATAAAAAAGCTCTCTCAACCTTTTTCTTTGCCAACTGAGTTGATATAAATTTAAAATATTTAATCGGTCAGATTTTAGGACTTTATTGATCTAACATTCTTGGTTCTTACTTATGAACCCTTATTTTCAACAGAAATTCTAAAAAAAAGTTTGTATTCAACTTTAACAAAATTAGAAAAAAAAAATTCTCCAATCAGAAAGTTAACTCAAATTTTTTTGCGAGAAGAATTACTTTAGTGTAGATTAGTATTATAATTATTCCTAATTATATTTACAATGTCAAATTATTCCTCTAGGAATGTGTGATGAAATCAATACTCTATAGAGCTTTATATGGTTTTCACCCAAAGTAACAAAAAATGTCCTTAAGTTTTAGATATATCCATCAAGTATACTAAGTTTATATGATTAAATTAGGTTGGAGGATAACTAATTATTTAAGAAATTTATGGGTTAAAGTTCTGACAGCAAAATATAATTATGATACTAATGATAACCAACCGTGTTACTAACAGTTCTAAGCTTATTTCTAGTATTTGGAAAGGTATTCTAAAATTGTGCTTCTTTTAAT